AGCAGTGCTGTGCTTAGCATTTAAGAAAAAAATGCCACTTTTTTGTTCTAGCCCATGCTAAGTGATTAAAAAATAAGCAAAATTAATCAAAGAATGGAAATCAGCTAAACCAGCTAATTATGGGCTAAATGCAATTAGTAATCTACAGAATAAAGAAAAATGTTGTATTTCAGGGATTGCTTTCAGTACACTTTAAAAAGACTACCAACATTAAGAATTCCAACATGTCCTGATGACTTCTGTCTACTGGTTTGCTCATCTGCAAGGAGTGTGTAGAGCACTTCATATGATGCCATAACTTACAATAAAAGCAGAAGAGCATTTCAAAAGACATGTGAATGTCTCTTGCAAAGGATTACGGATTATAAACCCCATTTATTTTATGACATTGGTCAGTACTTGGAGCCCATTATTTCAAAGTCCTGAAAATATCTGTTCCTACCAATGATATATCCATTATGTACATGCTAGAACTACCTGGTTGTAAGGATCCTAAAACTTTAAGGATCAGCACAAACCAACAGGTTTTTTTTTTTGTAAAGACAAAACAGGCATATATAGGATGCAACAAGAGCGTGCAACTGTGGAACACAAACAATGATATCCAGCTCTGTTATGGACATTAGGTGGAAGATCATCTTTGTGGTAACAGAAAAGCACTCTAAGAACACACTCTTACACAGGTACAGGAGAATTATCAGCACATCCAGCTAAACTAAATTCAGGTATTTATCAATCAGCATGAGTTCAAACTATATAAAAGTTAAAGTTATTTTTAAATAAGATTTATTCGGTTTAATTGTAAGACTTAAAACTGGTTTTGGGATGATAAACTTGAGGGTTTGCTGAGGCAGCATATATAAATAACAGACTGCAACTGCAGTCTAAAATCCACTGTCAGAGCAGAAACCTCTCTTGCAATACAGGTTAATTCTGACAAGAGTCAACAGGTGTGTAGTTAAAAAAAAGAAACTGTAGTAAAGCATTACTTTTGTTATACACCTACCACTTCAGAACTCCCCTTGCTTGACAAGGCATCTATGTGTTTGATTTCCATTAATTCAGGGAAGCAGTGTTTCTTTGTATGTTTTATACACTTCTGTACATAAACACATCTAAATTTCACTATCAAGTCAAAACTTAAGTATTGTGCAAGCAGCTATAGTACCTTTAAAATTAAAAAAAAAAAACCAACAAAACAAAACCACAAACAAACAAGCAAACAAAAAACATTACTATCTCCATTTTCCCTTCCTCAATCCCTGCATCATTACTTTCAGTTTCTGTTGAACAGGAAAGCTTTTACTTCTAACACTTTCAGTTTCAGTTTAGCAGGGAAGTGCAAAAGAATGAGTTCTGCTTGAGAAAGTCATCCAAAATTAGGACAGCAAGCAGGAGTCAGGGGAAATGGAACAAAAGAGGAGCTAGATGATACTACAAGACAATAGCTAAGAAAAAAAAAAATCTGCCTATGGCTTACTTCAACATTACATAAGCCTTGATTATACCACAGTGGTTAGCACTTTGTCTAAAGCCAGTCTGCCTTTACCTCACTTGCTCCCAAAACAGTTTAAAATATGAGCCTGGAAATGAGAATTGGAATTGCTTCTATAAAGTGATTTGTAATGTTTGTACAGTTTCTAGGAAATCAGCAGCTAAACAGTCTTGTAGACAAGTGTTTGCAGTTCTCTGGAAATAAAATATGAAAAAAAAAAAAGAAAAGAAAAGACCAAAAAAACAAGACAGAAACCAAAGGTACAAGACTCTGACCAAGCCCTGTAAATCAGTGCAATAAATACATATGCCTAAAAAAGTCTTCATCTTGAGGTTAGCAAAAGCATCCTAAGAATTCGGTGCAGATTAACATTTTCGCTTGTAAAAATAAAATGAAAAAAGAAAAAAAGGGACTCAGATAATACAGGGCACAATAATAATCAACTCAAGGTTTCAAGCCCTTTCTGTCTAAAGTAGACATTAAAAAGAAAAAGACAATTGTAGTGGAAAGCTTCCATTTTATGTGGGTTCATCTTCAAGAACAAACAAACCCAAACCAGTGCACCAGCAAAGCTCCCTCATCTCAGTTATAGCCACCTGATACAGATCCACTTATTTATGTGGGAGGACACTTAGCAGACACACCCCTTTTCACAATTACCGGTTATGACATTAAGTGTTTCCAAATGTAGGTTACAGGGGAGCTTCAAAACATCATGTGCAGCACGAGACATTAGTTTGGGGAAAGCTGTGACAGGCAAGAACATGTTCTTCGAGAGCTATTTTACAACATACACTAAAACAAGCCTTTGAGACTTCATAATATTTTGGGAACTTAAATGCACAGCTCATCAAGCTGACTGTTTTCATTTGACATAATGAAAGAATGGGTATGCTTCTAGAGAAAGGTTGCTTTCAAACATATATAGAAGCTTCTCTTCTAATATACTACTTATTTAGAGACTCTAGAGATTATTAGTGTTCTGATACTAGCGCATGTATTTGCATACCTTTTTGCTATCTAGCAGTAGCTCCTTAAAATATACATTTCATTTTCCTCTAAGATTTTGATAACATCCTCTTAACTTGCCCCAGTTCATGTACAAGACATACAAGGGCAAACCAAAACGAAGCTATTATTTACAAGCTTGCATTTAAAAAGAAACAAAGCCCACACCAACACTGTTGCTCAACTTTATTTATTCTGTGATGTCTTTCTGCTGTCCCCGAATTCACCATTTCCCCTCTGCTATGTATTTCCTCCATGTTGAACTACAAGAATATTCCTCCTCTCTCTAGCAAAGGTACATTTTTTAGGTCCGCTCCACCAGGAAAACCTTGGGGACAGGGACAGAGTTATTTGCCACTAGAAATGCTGTAAAATATCAAGCTGATAATATTCTTTATTCTAAGACCTTTGTATACATCATGAGTCTCTTCCTCTGTGCAAGACTGAAAATTATTACCTTATACAAGGCAATTTTCCCTTATCCTTTCTCTGACAAATAAACCCTTCCCCATTCTAAATATTTTCCTCTTATCTAGGGCAGCATTTCCACTTCTTTGCAAACAGAAGCACGAAGCACCTGCAGCTCTCCCAAGATCCAAATCAAACATTTATGTCAGGCCCTGATCTGCCAGAGCTGAAACAATAATCCAGCATTTCCTCGCTGCGATATGGAGATCAAGAGAGCATTTTCTGATTGTGACACTGATTTAATTCAAAATTCAACACAGAGTCTTGAGAGTGTTGAGTTTCTTTCAGAGTGCCAAGAGTTGGAGATGGTTTATTTTTCAAATTGCATTGTTTCTGGACAGGTGTTTAATGCTCTAGTTTACTATGACAACCACCCATGTTACAGATTACACGCAGTATCTTTCACGATCCTTTTGTTCAAGCAGCTACATTGCTCTCTAGATGAAGGCCACCAACCTGTATCTTTGCCTTCTCGTAGCCATACTGGTCACAACATACTTTCAGAGGCTACAGGAAGAAAAACATTTTAAAAATACACTTTTTAAAATGAATATTTAAAATTCTAGAGGTAAATAACATAACAGTTAAGTATCAGAAGAAATATTTTACAAAGAGTATTATTAATTCCATGGAGTAGGAATTGCATCTTCTTTCCTTTCACTAGTTGTACTGGTATCCTACATAAGAGCCTACTGGAATCTTACGGGATATAAAAAAGCCCATGACTTGTTTTAGAATTAGAGCACTACAATTCTGGCAAACATTGCTTATACCTTTTGTGCATTGCTGTATTTCTCCTCCCCTCATCCACCAACAGGAATGAAGGAATCCAATAACATGGAAACACAGTTTTACGAAGACAGACATAAGACTATCCAACATCTGTGATGCACATAGATAACCACCAAAAATCCATGCATATCACACAACTTTACAAGAAAATGCAAAGCAAGCTAACACAAAAGCAAATCAGCATTTCCATGCTAACAGAAAAGCGAGATTTATGGCAATTGCTAAGAGGCCAAATAAGCCCTCTGCTCAGATCATAAAAAAAAAAACAAAACAACAAAACACAACCCTGCAGTATGACTGTTCTGTTTCCTGCAGGAAATGAGATGCTTGTATTAGATACCCCTGTGGTTTTCATACTGTAAATGTATCAGCTGGTACAAATCCTCTGGAGAGGACTATTAACTAATGCTTAGAAAGAGCAGTGGCAACAGCAGACCGCATATAGCACCTCAGAGAGGAGGGGACAAAAGCTGACAAGTCACCCCTGAAAAAAAATTTGAGGGCCAACAGCTGAAGAATACATCCTGTAGTAAAGGCGATGTCTGTGAGGAACATGCATACCAACACCCGCTTATTTCCCCTTACACCACTCACTGCTTCTCTAAATAAGGAGCCTACTGCTCATCAGCACTCCTCTCATTTAGGAGCCACAAGCCCATACTACCGCTCCTCATTAAACCACCCCTAGCTACACACGGTAGTCATCCACGAGCTATGCACATCTCACGCATAGCCATTTTTCCTCCTTTCTGCTGCAGTTTTTCCATTATGTTTCGCAGCTGCTCTGGCGCTAAGACCAGACCTCGCCGAGGCAGCCCCCCTTGACGGGGCAGGGCTCCTTTCCTCCGGCAGACCCCTCTGCTCCTCCATCAGCATCGCTCCCTCCCGGCGGCCTGGGTGGAGCCGCTCTCCCTCGCAGGACAACCGCCGACCGTGTTCCCTCCATTGCAAAACGACTGCCAGGACCAGAAAGGGGGAGGAGGGAAAGCGGGGGGGGGGAAGGGAAGAAAAAGGTGTAAACCTGCCTGGGGGAGAGCCCAGGCACGGAGACGGGAGGGCAGGGCTGGGGGGAGGGAGGGAGAGCAGGGGGCAGCGGGGAGACAAAGGAGGGATGGAGGGCGCCCAAGGAAAACGGGGGAAGCCGGGGAGGGGGCGCTGCCGGGGAGCCCCGCGGGCACCTGCCCGCCCAGGCAGACGCCTCGCACACGCAGATCCCTGCACATACACACGCACGTACCCAGCAGCAGCAGGCGGTGCGTCTGCTTGTACTCCCGTTTCTGCTCCTTGAGCGCCCGGTCGATGCTCTTGCTGACTTTCCTCGCCTCCTTCTCCGCCTCCCGCTCCTCTAGGCGCAGCTTCTCCCAGGTTCTCTGCAGCGCCGGCGGCTGGTGCAGCGCCTGCTGCCGCGCCGCCTTCCCCGCGCCGCCGGCTTTGGGCAGCGGCGGCCGCTCGGGGGTCGCCCCGTTACCGCCGCCGTTCTGCAGTAGCAGCGGCGGCCCGTCCGCCTCCCCGCCGGGCTTACCGCCGGGCCGAAGCGGGGCGCCGAGGGGCTGCGGCTGCGGGGCGGCGTGAGGCTCCGCCGGCGCTTCGGGCTCCGAGGTGGCGCCGGTGCTGGAGATGGAGCCACCGCCGGCGTCGCCGAAGAGCCGCGGGCGCAGGCTGTAGCAGAGCCCCATGGCTCGGTGCCCCCGCCGGGGACGGGCTGTGGTGCGGCGGGGTTGGCCTCAGCGCTTCCCGCCGGCCCTACGCGTGGGGCAGGCGGCGGCGGGCTGAGAAGGGGCGCCTCGGAGCCCCTCACGGCCCCGCTGGGCCATCTTGCATTTTCCTCCCCGGGAGGCGGCAACGGTTTCTCAGCGCCGATCACCTGACACCGAGCTGCCACCGCCGGGTCCACTTTACCGTAAATACCCCAGCGCCAGCCCACCGCGCAGCACCGGGCGCCGGCGGGGGAAGGGCGGGAGCACGCCGCCCGCGCCGCCACACAGGCGCACACACGTTCGCAGCCGCCCCCCCCTCCCCTTCAACCGGCTCCGCCATCCCCTCACACCACCCCGCCCGATGCCTGCCCGCCTGCGCCGAGGGGGCGAGGGTCCACCCTCTCCGCGCACAGGCGGGTAGACCCTCGCTGCTTACACTACCCGCCCCCTCCTTTCCTCCCTCATGGAAGGGCCGCTGGGCCGCCTGTGTGAGCCCCGGGAGCTGCAACCCTTCCCTCGGGGATGGGGGGGATACGGCGTGGCCGCCTCCTAAGGGGCGGCTCAGGCCCAAGCCGCTGCCGGCATTGCCAAGGCCGAGGCCTCTGATAATTGAAGGTCCCCCTCAGAATGACAGCGGCCGGTGGGGAGGCCCTGCAAGCCCCGCCGCCATCCTCACAGCTGCGGCACGGTGTTCAGCCCCTGTGCACATATGCGGCTTCTCGCCCATAGGCTGACTAACGGTGCCGTGGGAGGAAGGCTTTGGGTGCGACGGGTAGGAGAAAATAATAGGCGGTGTTTGGGTTTGCTCGCGCTGTCAGCGTTGGCAGTAGTAGTAGCGTGGGCTTGTGGAGGGAAGGCTGGTGCTTGGAGTCAGCCCGTTCAAAGGTGGTGGCAGCCCTCCTCATGGGAAATCTTGGACAAATTCAGGCTAGTCAGAATGAGTCTCAAATGTGGCTCCTTCTGCTTTGTCCATCTCCACATTCTTCATCATCTTAGTCCTTCTTTTTCAGGGGCATGTGGCTACTGGATGAAGCAGTGTGTCTCTTAAACCAAAGGTCATGTTGTATGTTCACTATTATGACTGATTTATACCTTGGCATAATTTAGACCCTCTTAGTTCAGTAACATCAACTATGTTCATTATTCAGGCTGGAGAAGAGAAGGCTCCAGAGAGACCTTAGAGCAACCTTCCAGTACCTAAAAGGGGCTGAGAGTAAAGGTGGAGAGGGACTTTTACAAGCATGTGTAGTGACAGGCCAAGGGGCTTTAAACTGAAAGAGAGTACATTTAGATTAGGTATTAGGAAGAAATTCTTTATTATAAAGATGGTGAGACACTGGAACAGGTTAGCTGGAGAAGCTGTGGCTGCCCATCCACATAAATGTTCAAGGCTGGATTGGGTGGGGTTTTGAGCAACCTGGTCTAGTGGAAGGTGTCTTTATTCTTAAGAATGATCTTTAAGATCCCTTCCAACCCAAACCATTCTAGCATACTATGATTCATGAACTTTATTGATGCAGTGTCTCTTTGGATTTTGTAATAACCCTGTAATATCAGGTCATTGGTTTTGTCTCCTGATTTTCTCCAGTGACCAATATTATATTAAAAGATGCCACTATGCATATACTGCTGTATGAAAAAATGGAGGAAGGTCAATTCCTATACTTTTTTCTGAAAAACAAATTATAGCAAATTTGCCACAGTTTTTTTCATTCCTGGATATAAGAAGCAGAATTGTTTTTATGACAGATTTATTTGTGTCAAACAATTTAGCAAATGTCCTCTAAAATATGCATTTGGTAAATGCAGTGAGTTGTGCATTAACATTCACTGGGAAAAAAAAACACCAACCCAAAACAACACACCACCCTACATTAGCATAAAATAAATAGATGCCTTTTAACTGAAAGCATCAACTGTCTTTGCACCACACAAAGGAAATTTTGCCAGTGAAAATATTAGCAGGATCCGGCACACTGCAGACTTTGCTCTCTTATACCGTTCAAAATGCTTAACAACTATTTTGATAGATGCCTTAGCTCCAAGAAGAGCATCCAATAGCTGTTGCTTCTATTGCATGTTTTAATACATGATTATATAGTGTCCTGGTTGCAATCTTTTTGCAAAACACATAAGCAGTTACATCACAGCAAAGGATGTTTCACCACTATTGCAGTGGTGCTGTGTCTTTTTTTGTGACTGTTTTTGTGGACCATAAGGGTATAAGATCTGTTAGGTTGTGAATGAAAGATTTCAATTTTCAGCTGAAAACAGAGCAGGAATTTGGATAAGTAGAATCTAAATGTTCAATCTGGACTGAATAGCCAGGATCCTGGGATTAGTGGCTGTACCCTTTTCAGTGTAATTGGATCACAGAGGAGAATTTGCTACTCATCCAACAAAACAGTCAAAACATGAAGAAAAATACCAAAGTAATGGTGAAAAGGAGTTAATATTTGGGGCTGAATGTCAACATGCATATTTAATTTTGTGAAGGTGATTTTTAGAGCATGGTGCATTCAACAGCATTTGCAGAATCATGAGCTCTTTTTCAAGTAGTAAAAGAAATGCTGTAACCTGGAGAAATCAGTTCAGATTAAGTAATAATGTGCTTCTGGGCATGTACATACGTACTCAGAGATGAGCAGGAAAGGTGTGATATATTCAGGGTTACAGAGGAGACCTGGCAGAATATGTACTGTAAAATGACATTCTTTGTAAAGAATTTTGAAATATCAGACAATGTAATAACAACCAGGAATAGATAGCATCCTTGAAAAACAGGCCACTCAGCCAATCACCGATATAAATACTCTACCTATAAAAATGTCAGACAAAGTAAGTTGGGTCTCCTGAAAGATCTTTTTGTGACCTACAAGAGCAAATTTGGTCTTGAGGGAAAAGTATTCTTAGTTTTTTTTCCTTATGACTTCTAATAAAGAACAGTAAGCAGCCTGTCTTTTTTCTTTCCTCAGAGGAACAGCGGTCATCACTACTTCTGAATGAGCATGGACTGGGATTTTCAAGAATTTAAAGTGAGATGATTGATATAATGCAGTTTTCTGATCTAAATACTCTTTGGAGGATCTTTCATGGAATGTGCAATATTTTCTAAGGTTAGTCATCCAAATCAGAGCTTGATGACTGGCTTAGATTTCAGTAGTACTGATTACCTATGATTTTCATTGTATGGACTGAAGTTAGAATCTTAGACTTGTAGAACAGCCCAAGACTGTTTTATGGGGAAGGGACCCCAGAAGGTGTCTTTCGAAAGATGATTTGGTCCAGCCTTTTGTGGGAAAGGTAGCCTAGATGAGGTTATTCAGCACCTTGTCTAATCGCATCTTTAAAACTCCAGTGGTGGGTGCTCTGTCATGTTCCTGGGGAGATTCTTCTAGTGAATTGATTGCTCTCACTGTAAAGATTCTTTCTTATATCAAGACAAAACAGGAATACTATGATGAAATCACTCTTGAGCCTTTGCTTCTTCAAGGAGAAGGTCCCTCCTGAGCCTTCTCCAGAGAGAAGAGATCTACCTCCTTCGACATCCTTATGGGGCACATTCTCCGAACCTTTGATCAAACTTTTGATCATCTCTGTGGCCCTGCTTTGGACCCTCTCCAGTCTGTCCACATCTTTTTTGAGTTTGTGGGGAGAGTTAATTAATATATATATACAGAGAGAGAATTTGGTCTGAACTAAAGTAGACGCTTTAAACTGTTTTTTGTTTCTTGCATTCAGTGTATAGTTTCACCTCAGAAATAAGTAATTAGAGGCAGTTTCCAGTCGTATGTAGCAGCTGGGTATGTTCACAAGATGGCTTTACTTCAAGGAGTAAGGTATTTATAGAAAGTAAATATATAAATATTATTTCTATAAGAAGGGTCTTTACTATTTCTTAAAAAGGAGTGAAATTTATGCATTTCTTGAACACTTATGAAAATAATTTGTATTTTTTTTCTGGTTTTATAATAATTTCTATTTATGATTAATTCCCTATACTATGTAGCTTTTTGGGATAAATGCATTGTTCCAAGTTTTAACCAAGAGATGGGTGTTTGTGATCAAACTTAAATGCAGTTAAGTGCAGTTGCCTGGAGGATGTAACTGTGTTGGAATTAAAGAGACCCCAGTTAAATGGACCTGTAAGAAGTTTGATAAGGCAAGAATCTTAAACACAGGGAGAAGCTTTCCTGGGGCTGGATATTTGTCTGTCTTCTTGTTTCTCCAATTAGTTCCTCAGTGAATGGGTTTATCCATATTCTCTCTAGAGTTCTGCCATAATGTTTTTATATAGCTTGTCAGAATGTGAATTGAAAAACTGTAATTTCAGAGCCTGCACTGGGATATTTTTTTTCTAAATTATTTCGGTGTTTCATCCTCAAGATTTTTCAGGACCTCAGTGATTATTAGGAAAAAAATGTTGCAGGGTTTTAGGGGTTTGTGAAAGAGGAAAGTTACATGATAGAAGAAAAAAAAACCAGAGAACTGTGTGCTGTGACAAACTAGATGTTTGCAAAACTTCTGCGGAGGTTAATTTTCCTCATGGATAAAGGGTCTAGGAGGTACCCAGCTTCCATCAGATCTCTTATCTTCTTTGATAGGCACTTGTCAAAAAACCACTTGTTTTCTGTGTGATGAATACTACTATGTTTGTTCTTACGGTTTATAATAAACTCTAAACTGTGTTCATATTGTGCCTGTATTGCCTTACTGTAACATTTCTGGGTTATGGGAAAAGGAAAATACTGTTTTATGATATATGTTTTTCTCCCTAAAGGCTGAAATCTATGTTACTGGTAGCAAGCCTACCAGTAGCATAGCTACATCAACAAATCTTCTGTTTGTGAAATGTATGGAGGTTAGATGAGTCTGCTGACATTCTGTGAGTCTCTGGAAGTCCAAAGAATTCCCTTGGTCTTCTCTTTGAGAGATACCTTAAACCTGCAGTGTAGTTTCCTTCCTTGTGATCTGAAAAGCTATGCAAAGGTATAAATATGGTAATTTTTTGCATTGTGTGTGAATGCACTGGCTGCCTTTCCTCTCTAAACTCTTTACAGGACACCCCGGGATCTATAACTTCTCCATCCTATAGTCTCTCCTTCCCAGCATCATCTCCAGAGCTATGATATCCAGGAATAAAAGTACCTTCACAATTTACATTGATATTAGCATTTTCTATACTAGTCATTTAGGGAGCCAATTTTAACTGGTAAATCAATGCAGTCACCTACTGCTCACTAGACCTGCGGAAATCTCAGCTATGTGAATCCCATGAATTATTTTAAGCTCATTCTTTAAAGATTCTGTTTTGTTTCACTGATAGATCAGTAAATAAACAAGTAAATTATTTTGGACTGCAGTAAATCCTTCTAGTTTCTATAACATGCCCAGACACAATAAATATAATGCCCCTGTTTTCACAGAACAATTCCAACCTTCACCACAAATTTTATATGCCACTTTTACTTACTGGTTGCTTGAAGCTTCTCAAAAAGTGGGACCAAAATAAGGCTTATAGTGGGAATTCAGCTACAAATGTGATAGTTGTAGAGGAACAGTTATCCAAATCTAATTTTATCAAATCATCTCTCAGTCATCACCATGGTATTTTGTTGCGCCTTGTCATATCTGAGTATGATAGCAATAAAACAATTTAATATTTCTTTATGGAGAGCCTCTTTCTCATAAATGCTGTAAACAATTTGCAGCTCTTTAAAGCAGGATTTTAGTTTGTCGCTGATAATAAAAGAATAAAGGATTTTGGTTTATTAAAAGTGCCAGTAGTACCACTTGTATTAATGTTGCCTTATACATCCCATTATTAGACTCTCTTTTGTTTTGCTTAAAACCATACAAAATGGGATTTGGGCTAAATTTCACCTGCTGAAGTCTATTTTGACCTGAATGGTTTTGTTTGTTGTAACTTCCAAAAAGTACCTCAGCCATTTTCACAAAGAGTTTAAGAAAAACATAGTGTTAACAAGTTAAAAAAGTCTTGTCTTTCAGAAGGACTAATAGTTTATCACTATTGCATCAGTCATGATGGATCTTTTTGCTGTAAGAGAGGTGATTACCAGTATATAGAAGACATTTTAAGCAATGTCAGAGTAGACAAGCTTAAGGGAATTTACTGCAAGTACCAAAATAAGATAAAGTAGGCCAGCTTGCTTGAAAAGTAGGCTCTGAGCATATGAAGAAAGAAAAGAGATTTAAAATACAAATTGTGGGAGAAGCCAATTTTCTGTGGTACTGTATAAAACGGGGAAGGGTAGGAGCAAAACAAAGCAATTTAGAGTTTTTGTATACTTAACAGTGTTATCAGCACAATTCGCTATTGTCAGAGGCATAACTTTTGATTTCTTTGTAGCATTTAGTTTGTTGCTACCTTTAAAGGAATTTAAATAACAAACTTATGAGGCTCCCAGTGATTTCTCTTAAACACCTTTGTAAAGGATTTCTTTAAAAAGTCTGTTGAGCCATGTTTGAATCAAGTGTTTGCAATATTTTTTTTATGAGTATAGTTTTTGCTCTGAGAAAATCTGATTGAATCTGACCAAATAGTAACACTTTAAAAACTGTAACTTGCACAATCTGAAGGACAGAGCAGAAAACCACCCCAGCATTCTTCTGTGATGAGGAATGGTCCTCCTTGTTGCAGACCTGATCCAGGCAGAGGAAAAGGATGTGGCTTTAGGAACACTTCCATTAAAAGACTCTGATCCTATTTTGCGTGTGAATAATGTATGTATCTATCGCATACCGCATTTCTTTTAAGTCAGGGAAGCATGCTTTATCTTGTGCAACCTCAATTCGTTCCCCTATAAATATTCATTGTGACGCAGTCTTCAACTTCAAACAAACAACTTCAGACTAAGCTGTTTGTTTTGGGGACTCTCTGCTCTTCATGTGAACAGCCAGCAGAGCTGTAAAAGAAATCCCAGCTAGCTATAGGGACTTCTAGAACCTTGTGAATATTTGGGAAAAAAAAAATCTTCTCTTTTAGAAGATATTTTTGTGTTATTGCTTTAATGCAAAAACTAAAGTAAAGCAAGACAACAAGAAACTGAAATGAACTAATGCATAAATGGAGATCATCATACGAATTTAACTTTAATTTCAATATTAAACAAATTAGTCTTTCCATTTCAACTGAGAATCAACCTAAACAATATATTGAATAATAGAATCATAGAAAAATCTTGTTTGGAAGGGAACTCTGGATATCACAGTTTGAATATGCGTTTTGGAGGCTAAGAGGGGAAACAATATAAGCATGAATAGACAATAAAATTTGGTCCATAAAATAATTCTTTTCTGCAGTGCATTTTTTTCTGTGAAAACTGATGGAATTGTTAAAATTGGAATATTCAATCCAAAAAGTAAATTAGAGTAAATCAGGATTTTCAGTTCCTTCCAAGACTAACCACTTAACAGGACTGAAATAGCTTTCACTAGGAAACCAGTGAAAATGGGAAATATTTAATCAATCCTTATTTTAGAAATCAAGAAGAAAGAGCAGGAAGGAATATTAGACGAAGAGCACCATTTATAAAAATATGTTGAAATGCTGTTTGTCTTAGGATAAAAGTATTTAAGTAGTTTTAAGATGAGATAAATGTTCATGGATCTTTATGGCTAGCAAAGTTAATTATGAATTCTTTTCACTGAGAAATCCACTCAGTGGTGGAAACCCTAGAGCAATATTTGTAAATATTGTAATAATTTCTTAGTCCTGAGTTTTCTAGATTCCCAGTAAGAATTTAATTGGCCTGTGCATTAACATGGAAGAAGCTTTCCCATTCCTTTTTTCCCTTGTCTTACCCTTTTTCATTTCTTGATTCACTACCAAGGAAATAAATTAGGAACCTGAATTCTCAGCAGCCTTTCCACACTTCTCAATATTGGCACAGCAGAGAAGTTTGAATACCTCAAGAAGCATGGCCTCTTCTGCATTTCTCATTGCTGAGGAGAGACTGTCCCTTTCAAGCAGCTTTATGCCAAACCCAAAATCTAGACTGATTCCTCTCCTCACAGAATGTAAACAGAGAGGATCATCTGCTTTTCTCATCTTCTGCTTTTCACTCCTTTTCAGCCTTCATTCGTGGCTTTGAATAGAAATACCAGGCAGCTTTCAAGAGTACAAATATGTTTAAAGTCAAAGTACTACTAAAAATAGGCTCTAACTAGTCATACTGGCTTGTTAATCCTGTGCGCATGTCTGGTTGTTCCTCAGGACAACGTACATTCCCCTGCATTGCTTAGTTGCAGGGATATGTATGACAACGATACTAGCATTAGGTTTCTACAGTTTCTCATGAGGTAGAACTTTTCAGCCTTACAGAAGATCTCCCAAAAATTAAATCCTGTAAGTGACAGATGTCAGTAGCTGCTTTCCAGCATGCTAGAACAAAGCCTTTCATCTTTCAAGTTCTTATTTTAAAGAGGTTATACCCAGGTGACACAATGGAGATATGGAAAGGTTTGGTAGTATTTTATTAAAGATTTTTATTAGATCATCATGCTTATTATTTAATACTTCTACAACACTAAAGTGGTGTAGAGTCTGTGAATATCACAGTTTCTCTTGAATAGGTGCCTGCTTATGGCTAAAGTTCATTAACACAAACTTATGTAGCTATTTGATAATTTTTATTTTTTATGTGCTAGTAGCAGAGCCACTGTGAAGATGTGAAAATGTGCACAGAACATTATTCTTAAGAATATTCAAAGGGTCTTTATATTTAGAAAAGATAATCAAATTACAAAAAAAAAACAATTACAGATAAGCAGCTTCAGAGAAGCATTTAAATCTCTATGGATAATAAGTATAATCAATATATAATTAAACCCATAATATTTCTACCCTTAAAGATGGCTTTTACACCTCAGTTTCATTCTGCCTTAACTTACAGTTACTAATTTCCATCTGATTTCCTGTAAGGTATCTTAAAATCAGTGTATTGACAAACAGAG